CCTGCTTTTCTCTTCTTATTGACAATATATTTTCACAGTCAAGTATTATCTCTGTATTATGTATACAGCCTTTTGATTTTCATTCTCATTGTTTTGCTTCGAGATGAAGCGTATATCCTAACATACACTAAGATGGAGCTATTTCAAAGCATACTAACATCCTATCCTTGAAATAATACTTTCCTGAATATTTTATGTTCAGAGTCAGGGAAAGGAATTAACAAGGAAATAAAAGCAGATGTTAATGTCCCAGAAATCTGTGAAATGCTTAGAAAAATACATAGCACCAAAATACGCCTTATTTGTTTTAAGGGAATTTAGCAGAAAAAGAGTTGGGAGGATTCTCTTAAAAAAAAAGGTATTTGAAATGCTTTAAGTATAAATCACACACACATTTGCTTTGATGTTGTTTGCAGCCCCTTTATTCATTGCCTGGAAAAATGCAGTTTAATTCTTTTTCAAGTTCATGAAAGAATGTTCAAGGTATGCAAAGGACTTCTGGACAATTTTGTAAATACGTCTTCATAGAAAACTCTATACCAGAAGGGTTTGTGTGGCCATCTTGAAATCTCTTCAGTCTTCTAGCCTCCTTTTTATGCAAGTCTGAATGATGCAAAAAGCAGGCAAAAAAAACAAGAAAACAAACCCAAGCATGCCATAATTTAGATGGTCTTGAGTAATAAACTAGCAAACAATCATTCAAAACAAGCAGCCTGTGAAAAGTCTCAACAATTTAAAGGTACTTCTTTAGTTTGGTCAGTATTTTTAGAAAAAAATCTGTATTGATTACAAAGTGAATCTCAGATGTGCATTACAGGTCCCAGAAGTAATCTAGTCATAGCATCCTGGAGTTTTGTTGGTACCTTTCCCATCACAGTGGAAACATTTAAATTGTTTTTTGGGTGCCCACAAGACTGTTCCATCAAGGACAGCTGACACTAAGACATCCTATTTCTGCCTGCAGGACATGATGGCAACTCTGGAATACTCTTTTTTAGATTCATTCTTATATCACAAGGTCTCTATACAAAGCTCTTTTAGTATTCATGTATAACCCTATGACTCCGTATAGGAGCCTACCTGAATTGAGTGATTACTCTTCTGAGCTTGGAGGCAAAAGGCTAAAGAGAGCTTTGGCAGGAGTTGGACAATCAGCCTCTTTCATAGCTTTCTTACTTGCCTGGTAGGCCAGCCTGGAGACAACAGAGGTAAGCATCACCCAGCCTCATGGCACAAGCTAGTGAACAAAATTATTTCAGGCTGTGTATATGGGGAAGCCAAGGACATGGGAAATAACTCCTTTTCCTGGGGCATCAAAGCAGGACACCAGACGTGCTGTCAGTGACACAGATTCTATTTCCGATGACAGAAAACAACCAAACCACATACTATTTGTGCTAAGGACAAGTCATTCTTGCTGTTTGACTTAAGCAGACAAGAGGCAAGGCAAAACCAGCCCGTGAGGTCCTTAACATCTGATGTCACATCTGTAACATCTCATCCAGGCTTAGCCTGGCTTGGCCTTGAGATAAAAACTGTAAAAAACAAAAAGCATCAAAAGAAGTCTCTTGGACCACAGCACTTCTTGACAGTCTACCTTTCACAGATGTTCCCCTGTGCACAGGGTCTGAACAGAATCCAACCCCAGCAGACATAGCACACGCTGTCCCTCTAACTCTGGCCTCCAAATTGCTATTAAGAGCACAGATCAAGGCCTTTAATTTATGGATCTGGAGAGTGCTGGATAGTGTGCTTGTGTAAGGGATACAGAATCAGTCTGCAGCATAAATCCTTCCATGGGGAGTATCATTCAGGTTCTACCAGATTTACACACTGAGTAGTGTGAATAACCCTAGTACCTTTTACATCAAAACCTAATGTAAGGGAAGGTAATTTTTTGTGATTCTGTTGTGCTTTTGTCTTACTTCTTTGTCAGTAATATTTGCCATAGGATTGTCATAGGATTTACTTCCTTTGTTACCAGAAGTAAGCAGTGGAAGGATCACTCCTGTGCCAAGCATTTTTCCAAGTCTTAAGAAGGAACTATTCAATATACAGCCAAACTTACCTGAGAAATCAAGGAAAAGCTATAATTTACTTTTTGGTAATGAATGTATACAACAAGCCTACACACAACAGGCTGAGTTGGTATTTTCAAATCCATCCTCATTATAAAGATTATAGAAAAATGCAGGTTTCTCTTCAATGATTTCTTTTTTTTTTTTTTCCCTTTCCTGCCTCACACATTGTCTTTTGGATGGCTTTTCCTGCTTTAGGGGAAGTTCTTCCAAACTTCTGAGATTAAAGCTTACAGTAGTCAGTAGCTACAAACATTGGATCGGATTATTTTCTTCTTCAAATTCAAATGGGAGTTTTGCCATTGATTTTTAACAGAAGTTGGATGATGAAACACTGTATTATCTCTCTTTGAGAAATTAATGTTTCCAATTAATTTCCACATGAACTTTGGGCTTGTAAATGGGTTAGTCTGGAGAAGGGAAGACTGAATGAAATAAGAAACTGGAAGTCATTGCTGATGTCAGTTTCTTTTCAAGAAAACAGTAGTGGTATAAATTTCAGACATCCATAGGCATAATTTATCTGGTTTTGGAGCCAATTTCATAAAGTTTGTTTAATTAGCAATATTTATTGCTACTCTAAACACCAATTTCTTGCCAACTCTATTACTGCAGGCTAGTTACACATATTGCAACCTTACTAACAGCTAGATGAGGAAATTGCTATACATGCTACCTACTTTGGGAATGCATGTAGTCTGGTGTATTAGGCTGGGTCAAAAGTCATTGCACAGTTTTAGAAACAGGAAGTACTAATGACAAATCTGACACATGTTAACAACGACAATTTATGTTTCAGGATTCCTTGAGCCAAATTTTCTGATCATACAGAAGCATTAAGAGCGTCTTTGCTGAAGAGTGTCTGCTAAAAACTACAAATATATATATCAGTCAATAATATCAAAACAAACAGTCATCAGAAATTTCACTGGTGCAAATCCAAACTATGTGCAGACATGTTATTGACTGACAAGGTCCATTCAAGAAAGAAGTTCAGCACAGTCTGCTGACTAAAATCACATTCAGAGTTCAGCTCACTGAAGAAATGACCCACAAAATCTTTCCCCAAAAGAAAAGGGTTTATTTACCACGGTGAAGTGTTAGCCTCTTCCTCCCACACTACAGGCATCTGTAAAATGCCACTGAAGTCAATAGAAGTCTGGCTG